CTTCTTCCAATGTACAGCACCACTGAACTGTCCAAAAATAACCTGACTAAGGTCTTGCCAGATCCTTCATCTTTGGGAGTCAGAGGTACCTATATTTCTCTCTCTGTTTCTCTCTCTGTTTCTCTCTTTGTTTCTCTCTCTGTTTCTCTCTCTCTCTCTCTCTCTCTCTCTCTCTCTCTCTCTCTCTCTCTCTTTCTCCTCCTCTCCCTCTCTCTTGGGACCTGCAATAGTAAAATGTCTGCAGGGTTTTTAGAAGAGGGTGATTTTATGGAAAATTTAGACTAGAAAACCAAAGAGGGCTCCATGCAGTAGGAATCCAGGCTGACATATAAAAGGTTACGAAGATTGCTTTACATCAGTGAAGATCATCAATTTGGAAAGTTATTTCAGGAGGAAAAAGTAAAGTAGCTGACATCTGACATCTGTTACATTGTAGAACTATGTTTCAGACCAGTATATGGGTGCAAGTGTATAAATGGTAGAGCATACTTGCTATGTACAGCTTTTTCATCCCTCAAATTTAGCTGACATCACAGAATCTCACAGAGGCCCAAGGCAGAAGATCCAGTGTGAATGCTCTGGTAGGAGTTCACAGAGAAAGAAACAGAGTACATGGAATCTGCTGTTCTGAGAACATGACTGCTGACATCCTTGGGTCACTAGAAGGGCAATACAAAGGAAAGAAGCAAAAGGCGCATATGTCACAGTCTGTACTGTCTCCAAAGGCAGCATAGCCAAATGGTCATAGAGAGAAGATCTAATTTGCTATGGTTAAGAACTTACACATTTGCCAGGCGCTGGTGGCTCACGCCTGTATTCCTAGCTACTCAGGAGGCTGAGATCTGAGGAATGAGGTTCAAAGCCAGCCCAAGCAGGAAAGTCTGTGAGACTTTGATCTCCCAATAAACCACCAGAAAACTAGAAGTGGTGCTGTGGCTCAAGTGGTAGAGCACTAACCTTGAGCTGAAGAGCTGAGGGACAGACCTAGGCCCAGAATTCAAGCCCCATGACCCAAAAAAATAATGAACTTACACAATTGTCTTCACAATTCACTGCCTTGTTAGACAGAAAATCAGTTTGAGTTAGAGGAGTTGTTGTTATCATAGTTGCTTGTTTGGGTATGATTCTATGAAAAGGAAAGGAGTGAGTAGTCTAGAAAATGCTGAGAAAAGTGGGAAAAGCTCTCAAATTACAACAACTTCACAGGAGATGGCATGCTGTCTACAGGACAGATAAAATGATGCTGTGAATTTTTTTTAATGGGGATCACAGTATAAGCTCTGGTTCGATGATGAAGATGGTTGCGTCATCTTTTCCAACTGGTCACAGCTCTCAGCTCTGTACTCTGCACCATCTAATGGTTAGGTAACTCTTACCTAAGTTCAGAGTGCTCATATGTCTAAAGCCCACAAAGTTTCCCTTGTATTAAGGATCCAAAATTACTTTTCATAAAGGTTTTAATATGAAGAAGACAAATATTCTCGCTACAGAGCAAGGGCTTGGCTCAGAAGAATTCCTTCTTGTCTAAATCTAAAACAATGTAGGAATAGCTTCAAGACTATAGAAAACGATGGAAAATACAGTGAAGTGTTCGTGGGATTTGTGGCAGGTGGCATCTAAAAGAGCATCTGATCACATTATAGATCCTCAAAGGGAAAATTTTACATCATATTTTTTAGGAATTTCCTATTTGGAAAAGTAGAGATCATATTGAGTTAATAATTCTCCTGGTATCATGATTGTCTTTTTTTATTGCCATTCAGATGTGATGATTTTCCAACTTGGTTACAATCTGTTATATAAGTTTTTTCTTTTGCCAAATCTAGTTTGTTGGTGTTATTTTCCATTGAGTTTTTAATTGATATTTGTCTTTTTTATTTCCAAGAATTTCAGAATTGTCTTATCAAATAATGTTTTCTAAAATCAAGCTGCTGATCTCTCATCCATATTTTAATGGACTTAAATACTTAATTGTTCTTTAGATAGGAATCATCTTTCATATCATTAATTATTTTAGCATGTATTTAAATACAGAACAAAACATTTGTTCTGTATTTTCATTATTTCAGTAACTTTGGATGAATGGACCAAGAGTCATGTTGCCTTGTTTTATTTTGTTTTGTTTGTACTAGTTTTGTTGTATGTTGTGACTGGTGCATTCATTGGCGTGGATATATTTTCTAGTTTTACATAGAAATCAATAAGGGAGCAGCCTCCTCTTGAAGTCTCATTCCCCAGTACTCCTCAGAGAAGGAAAATTGAAGCATTATAGGGTGACAATATCAAGGCACAGAAGATGTGGAAATGCAATTGGAACAAATTTAAGTCAACTGGTACATGACTACTATACCACCAATAACTTGAGAAGATAATGGCATAGGCATTGAAGTTAAAATTAATGAACATGAACATTATAACAAAAAAGAAGCAAAAGGGGGGGACATAAGAAAGGAAAAAATAACAACTCATATGGGGATAGAAGTGAGAAAGTTATTTCACCATGAATGAGCAATCTGATCATTGACAACATAGTCAACACCACTGATATTTATGCCAGTGCAATGAAAAGAAGAAGACGTGGTCTCATGAAAGGTAAAGTGGTGGTGAACAAACACCAGAAAATTAGTCTCTGTTGCCTTAGTTAAAACAGTTAGAAAATGCCAAGGAGCAAATGGGACACTGAAATGTAGCTTAAATAAACATTGAAAGGATACTATGCTTGGAAATGAACCATGCCCCATATTGGATAAAATTCGAATTGGAATAGCTGCTCAGAATCACCCATTCATCTAAGTGTAGAGAGAGTGTTCTCAGATCATAATAACTACTGTACCAGCCTGTAAGCTCATTCATGCTACCTTAAATAAAGGTGATCTAAGTAAGGGCAGGACAAACAGAAAAGACTGACTTCCATTTCTTCTGAGAGTTGTTGGTTAACCCCTGGAATCCTAGCTACTCAGTAGACTGAGATTGGAGGATCACTATTCAGTGCCATACTAGGCAGAAAAATCTGTGAGAATATTTCCAAGAACCACCAAAATGCTAGAAAAGGGGTTGTGGCTCAAATGGTAGCCATAATTTCAAGTCCTAATACTGACACAAAAACAAAGATATGAAAGATAAATAAGGAATGGAGTAAATAAACAATAATAATGGTCATTTCCTTGCATATTTCTTTATAGATGAGGTGAAAGCATAATAGACCAATGTCAAGTTCTCATTTTTCATAAGAACTAATTCCCATTGACCAAGAATGCACTTTGAGACATATGTTTAGTATATCTAGGACAGATGCTAAAGCAAGTCTTTCCAGAAGCTGTAAAGCGGCGATCTCATGAATACCCTACAGCAAAGAAATGGCACAGGATCAACTTAAGCAACAGAAAAATATCACCTCCTAACCAGACACCACAAACCACTTTGCTCACACACTACCAGCTACTTTTGAACATAGAAAAGTGTGCTTTGGCCTTTCTTGATTAGAGATCATGGAAAGTTTAGGTGCTGACACAAGGTGTTAAGTGACATATTAACTCAACATTAAATTTTTGAACAAAAGGCAAATGTCAAGCGGAATCTGGATGTATAATTTGCCTTCTGGTGACCTCTGGCAGATGGCCAAAAGTCTCACCTCACAACATATTCCATGACTTCCTATAGCCATCTGGAATTTAACCATTTGACATTAAGCTATCTAGCGAGAAACAGTAAGGGTTTTTTAGTGTTTTACTATATCTCCTTTTATGGTAGAAAAAAATTGTCTCTCATCTCCTTCTATGGTAGAAAAAAATGGTCTCTGAAAGTATACAATGAGTATATTTATAAAGAGTTCACCTGGTGAAGCTCAATACACATGAGAAGTGATATGATAATTCAAATATCTGTCAGGTATGAACAGTGTACTCCGGCTTACACATGAGCCTGTCAGAGGGAGTTCAGGGTCTGCAGCTGAGATCACTGAGCAGGGATGTCTGGTGTGCACAAGGAGGTCAAGATACACCAAGCATTTGGTCAGAAGCTGCTCTGAGAGACAACATCACATTAGCACTGCACCAGAGCGTTTTCATTCTGTTTCCTCCATCCTCCAGACTGCTCTCCTTCTCCAATTCATGACTAAAGTTGGAGATGAGATTGTCCTACTTTACTCAGCACTATCCAGAACATTTCCATCTTAATTACATTGTGGAATATTATATATGAACTCTGCTCATACCTGTTAGTCAATGCAGCAACGGGCTTGGAGAATTCATCAGTGACTACAAAATTAAAACTGAGGCTCTCTAACCAGTTTATCACACATTAAATTTAGGATTGAGTCTCGTTGGCGATAGCAGGGTCAACTTTCCATTTTTGGCAGAAAGACTCGCCCAGAACTAAGCCTGGTATAATATAATAGCCTTCCTCCATACAAAACAGAAAATTCCAGATTGCACCATACTTTGTTATTATCCGCACTATCTGCCTGTTACTAAAATGCTAATCTCTCTACCTACCTACCATTGATCCTTTCATCAAAAAGCAATGGGCCGCCGGGCACCAGTGGCTCACGCCTGTAATCCTAGCTACTCAGGAGGCTGAGATCTGAGGATCACGGTTCGAAGTCAGCACAGGCAGGAAAGACTGTGCAACTCTTATCTCCAATAAAGCCACTAGAAAACTGGAAGGGGCACTGTGGCTCAAGTGGTAGAACGCTTGCCTTGAGTTGAGGAGGATAGGGATAGCGCTCAAGCCCAGAGTTCAAGCTCCACAACTGACCAAAAAAAAAAAAGCAACGGGCCATGGTTTCCCTTTTTTGCAATAAGTCTAGGACAGCAGAAAAGGTCAAAAACTATGTACATATGACCATATAAGATGATGTTAAGCTAAATGAGCACCAAGATAGGTACACTAATGGTTTTTTTCTTTCTTGCTATGGTTTTTAATGTATTTATAATGTACTATGTGATTTTTTTTGTCCTCCCCCATTTTATAACCCCTGTGTTAACTGTACTTGATTCCAGTGCCCTGTATCTTGTATATACATTTTTTCTAATTTAGGGAGGGGAAGGGAAAAAACAAAATGCTTAAACAGGGATAAAGGTTGACCCATTGTAACAATGAGACATACAAGACACTATGTTGAAAACCAACTTTACAACTTTGGGCATGATGAGGCAGGAGGGGAGGGACACAAGAGTTGGGGAGGTGGGAGGGAAGGCATGGTAGGGGAAAAACAAAGGAAGGGGTAGCAATGCTCTATAGGAAATGTATCATTACTTACTCATGTAACTGTAACCCCTCTGTACAGTGTCTTTACAATAAAAAATAGATATTAAAAAAGCAATGGGCCATGGGACAAATCTTTCCTATTATTCAATATAGGTCATATAATGCAAGCTAAAGCTCTCCACTCCTACCAGAGAAGACAGTATTCTGTATCTTCACAGCAGATTTCCAGGCCAACCATAAGGCTTATTATTAAAGAGCACCCTGATCAGCATGGCCCAATAGGAGATGAGATCATCACGACTTTGAGGAAGGATCAGTGCATAAAACTACTCTTCTATGGGCCTGGCTTATTGAATCCGGTGCTGATTAAATTTTACCTCCTCGCCTAAAAAATAATGGACATCCTAAACCTTAGTGAAAAGGAGAGCCAGATAAACCACAAATCAAGATGCCTAAAGAACCTCAGACCCCTTCTTGTCTATTGGTTTTGTAAGTCACATCAACAAAGACCAGAATAAAATCATTTGTAGACAGCAAAGAGGGACTCTAAGATTACTGAAAAGACACTTTATATTTCTTTCTGATATTTGTGGTTTCAGGACTCCATATATACAAACCTGCTATACATAAAAGAACTTTCTGAAAATAAATGGTATAACACACCAGGAGTTCAGTGAACATAAACATCTACCACATTCTCCCTGCTCTAATTTCTTATCATCTTGCCTAATAAACACCAGATGTACAGGAGAGGTCTTCAATTCTAATTTCCCTAGTATCCTCATCAAAGGTTCCAACAAAACAAAGAAAGAAAGAAGGAAAGGAAGGAAGGAAGGAAGGAAGGAAGGAAGGAAGGAAGGAAGGAAGAAAGAAAGAAAGAAAGGAAGGAAGGAAGGAAGGAAGCAAGGAAGGAAGCAAGGAAGCAAGGAAGGAAAGAAGGAAGGAAGGAAGGAAGAAAAACTGCCATTTTCCTATGTACTCAAGAGATAAGTTCCCTTATCACATTTATGTCACCAATCCAAAGACTGACCAAATATATCACAGGTGAGGTAGTGGGTAAAGCAGATGTGATTTTTGAGGGTGCGGCTTGGGTCCCTCCTCTCCACCCTGGGATTATAAAGACAGGTGTGGGTCACTGTGCAGTTACCCTTCTGTCACGATGAGTGCACTCCTGGTCCTGGTCCTTGTGGGAGCTGCTGGTGAGTTCCATCCATTGTTTGGACCCTTTCTTCCCTGCACCAGGAGAACATGTGTTTTCTTGGTATTGCTGGACCCATTCTCCCTACAAGCTCTGCCCTCCCTTCTTCATGGCTTTAGGCTGCTCCTCTCTAACCTGTCTGAGCTCACCTCCACTCCCATCACTCATCTGATTCAGAGCTCTGATCATAGTGATTGCAAAGCTAGGTCAGGTGGAAGTTGTCCGTGACATACATCAGTTGGTCGGCGTTTGGGTCCCATCAGCTCTGTCACTGCTACAACATAAATTTTTGTAACATCAAAATCATGGACAGAGATTGAATATCAAATTTTGGTGTCTTTACACCCTTGCAATTACGAAATCATGTGGAAAGGCTCCAACATATATATCTGGTTCAAATTCATCGATAACTTTAAGATAGGTAGATAGGCAGCTAGTTGAAACCTCATTGCTGTCTTAGCTAACAGACATGCTTCCTAAGGTCTCTGGGGCTACAATTTGTTGATCCTGACTATAAAGATTTGAACGTTGGGAGACGCTAGATGCAGCCAGGTCTATATAGCCAGAACACATTCCTAGCAACACCAGCCATTCTGCTACTCATGGGGAATGAACAGTCACAGCAGTAGACAAATGAAAATCACTATGGAAGAACAGTCAGTGTTCAAGACAACCAAATTCTCAGTGCACTCTACTGCCTGGCTTCTCAAGATGCACCTGCGTCCTCATCTTGCAGTTGCAGAAGAGAATTATGTCCTTTGGCTGTCTAGATGACAGACATTTTGAACCACTAGATCCTGTGAGCCCAACACTTACAGTCTTTGGAAGCACGAGGAAGGAAGCAGGCACAGGTCTTTGGCTACACTCTCATCATACAGCTAAAGTGACTCCTCTTTCCCGTCTCCACCCTAGCTGCTTTTCCTCTTGATGACGATGACAAGATCGTCGGAGGCTACACCTGTGCCCCCAACTCCGTGCCCTACCAGGTGTCCCTGAACTCTGGCTACCACTTCTGCGGAGGTTCCCTCATCAATGACCAGTGGGTGGTGTCTGCAGCCCACTGCTACAAGTCGTAAGTACCAGACAACACATGGCTGCACCCACAGTCTGGTTTCTGCAAGGGTGTGGGTCCTTCCGGGTATGGGTCCTTCCAGAAAAGAGCTGCAGGGAGCAGATGAGTGTGTGAGGTGAAGTAGAGGAGAAAAAGTTATTGGCAGCAACTGATTTCACAAGGTTGGGGTGATAAGGGACATGGACTAGGAAGCTTCCCACAATCCAAATGAACACACAAGGGATGCTGGTCACAAAGGCAGCAAAGCAATGTGGTGCAAGAAGAACCAGTCAGGACTCCAGCAAGGAAAATGTGCCAGTATGATGAAGAACCTGAGTTTTCTATGCAGGAAACACAGTCCAAGTTTTGAAGCTGAAGGCTAAATATGTGTGAGCTTTAAAGGTTTTCTCCTTATGCTCTTGCCACTGTGCAAGGTGGGGCTGAGAATCATTGTCTGCAACAAGACTTCTCAAATTGGCTGCCCAACCAGGAGCTTTGTGAACACAACAGGTCTCTGGTCAGTTTCCTTCCACTGTCATGCATTTATTCATTTGTAGTGACTGAGAACTGAGTACTAAATAAGATGCAGAGAATGTTATGGCTGAAGGTCCCAGGGGCACAACTTGATGCCCAAGGAATAAGACTCACAAGAGCCATTTGTACCATAGTGATTTAGGAAAGGTTCAGAGACACCGAGGAATCCTGATTCCCTGTTTTCTGTATAGAGCCCTAGATGGAGAAGAAAGCTTGTGCACCAGAAGTTTGAGATCTGTCCCCAATTGTAGCCCTTGACTTCATCCCTTCCCACCTACTAACTTCTGAGGCAGAACACACCTGTGACTCACACTAGCACACCAGCACTCACCCACCAGCCATGTGCTGCTCCTAGGATGAGGCCTGGTAAACATTGCAGGCCAATGAACCCAGGTGTCCAGGGAAATGGAGAATAGCCTCCACCTTGCTTCCTTTTCCCCACAGCCGCATCCAGGTGAGACTGGGAGAACATAACATCAACGTCCAAGAGGGAAGTGAGCAGATTGTCAGGGCCGCCAAGGCCATCCGTCACCCCGGATACAACTCAAGGAACCTGGACAATGACATCATGCTGATCAAGCTGTCCTCCCCAGTGTCCCTCAACTCCCAAGTGGCCCCTGTGGCTCTGCCCACCTCCTGTGCACCTGCTGGCACCCAGTGCCTCATCTCTGGCTGGGGCAACACCCTGAGCTTTGGCGGTGAGCACAGCCCTTCACGTGTCCGCATGTTTCTGTCCTCATGTCTCCCAGAACCTAGCATGTCTCTCACTTGGAACCTATTTGATTCCAGTCTGCAAATAGATTGCAAGGCCTGTTACATCCAAGGCTCCTTGGACACCTGAAAGACATGCAATCCCAAGGGATTTGACCACTACATTGTGGGTAAAACTCATACAGACAGGTGCTACTATTAATTCTTGAAATAAGTAACAGTGATGGTCACTCTCATAACATAAACCAAGGTGATGCTTCAGATCCTGGGGTTCTCAGAAACTCTCCACCACATTCAAATGGAAGACTACCCTCAGGCCTGACATTTTGGCATTTCTCCTCTTTCATTTTCTTCTTATCGTGTGTCCTTCGAAGTGAACAACCCAGATGAGCTGCAGTGCCTGGATGCCCCCCTGCTGAGCCAGAGTGTGTGTGAAGCCACCTACCCTGGGAAGGTCACCAAGAACATGGTGTGTGCTGGCTTCATCGAGGGAGGCAAGGACTCCTGCCAGGTGACTCAGTCCTTCCCCATCACAACCACACCTGACCATGCTCAGCCCCTCCCTCTGCAATGCTGAATGGCTGCAGCACCATGTAGGGCTCCATTGACAAGTGAGCAAGGCCCACTTGACTGTGTGTCTTCTCCAAAGTAAGAGCACAGAATGGGCCACCACAAGTGAGCTATATGCTAGACTAGGACAAGTATTAAGTTCTGAGTGTGAGTTGCTCCATTACTCTTCATGTACTCATGCAACTTGTTCCTCTCCCCAGGGTGACTCTGGTGGCCCTGTGGTGTGCAATGGAGAGCTACAGGGAATCGTCTCCTGGGGCTATGGCTGTGCCCTGAAGGACAATCCTGGAGTGTACACCAGAGTGTGCAACTACGTGGACTGGATCCAGGCCACCATTGCTGCCAACTGAAAACCCTCCGGCCCTCTGCAGTCACTATGCCAATAAAGCAAACCTGTCCTCATTGTCGGTGTCTGTGCCTTCTCTGTTCAATCCCTTTGCCCAGGAAAACATCCTGAATGAGTTCTGGTGATGGGAGATGAGAGGAGACACTTAGTTCCCAAAATATGTGTTCTAGGACCAGTTGGAGAGATGGTAGCTAAAAATAATAATAGAGGACAAAGATCTGTTCTGTCAAGAAGGATTTATTTCATGAATGTGATATCTTTATAGATGTCTTTTGGTTGCTTAATGTGACTCAGAAAAGGAAATTTGGAGGGAGAGTACCAGATATTATCTTAGAAATCCACAGCACTCAGTCTTCTCTGGGGCTAGAATCAGGAGAACATGGACTTT